AAAATTTTTTCCCAGTCTGTAGGTTCTCTTTTGACTCTTTTGGTGAAGTCTTTTGAAGAGCATAGGTGTTTGATTTTTAGAAGATCCCAGTTAGAGACCCATTTTTAAGAGAAAAGACAAGAAACAGAGACTGACCCCAGGATGACCCGAATTTTAGAATTAGGAGAAAAAGATTTTAAACCAGACATTACATCTATGCTCAATGACACAGAGAAAGAGGCTTCTGATAAATACAAATGTAGGAAACTTGAGCAGAGGAATGGAAAACATACAAAAGAACAAAATAGAAATTTGAGAACTGAAAAATGTAATATCTGAAAATAAATAAATAACTGGATGGGCGTACCAGCAGAATAAAGATGACAGAGAAAAGAGTGAATCTCATCAGTGGAAATGACTCAACCTGAAAAACAGACCTGTGGGGCAATCGAAAGATTGAGCATACATGTATTTGGGTGGCACAAATGGTTAAGCACTCAACTACTCACCAAAGGTTGGCAGTTCAACCCATGCAGAGGCACCTCGCAAGAAAGGTCTGATGATCTGCTTCTGAATGGTCAAATCCTTGAAAACCTTACAGGGCACAGTTCTACTGTGACTCAACGGCAACAGGTTTTTTGTTTTGGTTTATAGGGTTGCTATGAGTTGGAATTGAGTCAACAGCAAAGCGTTTGGTTTTGTTTCTTTGACAGTTTCCACCTCACACAGGTTCTGGCTCTCACAAGTTTTACTCTAGAACACACTTTACGACACAGACACCGAGACTCAGAGGTTAAGTGCCTTGTCCAAGGTCACAGATCCAGAATGGAAACCCAGACGTCTGAGTCCGTGACCTGGAAATGTTCTACTGGGTAAATTCTGTATTTTAATGTTTTAAGTTAGGCCTTTTATAAAAATGATAAAAGTGGCAGTTAGAAGCTGCTTAAACCCTACTTAAGAAGCATCACTCTATTTCCAGGAGCAGGAGAGACTGGTGGGGGTGGCTGTGAAAACTACACTTGGTACCTGAAGTGAACATTTCTCCTTCACCAGAAATCACCACAGCACAACAGTCGGCATTCTCTGATATCTTGTTGAAGCACTCTACCATCTCCCTGTGGAGGAGCAGGGAGAAAAGGGCTGTGTCTGGGGCAGGAATCCTCTACCCTCACATCCATCTACCCCCTGCACTCCACCCTACCCAGTCCCTCAGCCTCTGCCTCCTCCTTCAGGCAGGCCTCCAGGATACACAGGTCAGACCCCCAGAAGGCCTTCCTCAGGGCGTTCGTCTTCTCGGCCGGTTGATCTGCATGTGCAGAATGTGTTCTGGGCCAGATGTCACACGAAGAAACTGATAGCTGTGGCCAGGCGCCTCGACGGGGGCTGCTCTGGGGACTTCATCTTGCCCAGGGTAGCTCACGGGGTGAAGGCTAAACGTCAGACCTTGACTGGGTGGGGTCAAAAACCCTGGGAAAAGAAAGGAAGAGTGATGACCCCAAAGACCCTCCAAACTGAGAGACACTGACTCTTCTATGACCCAGACTGGTGACACAGCACCTTCAGGAGCAGAGGGTACACTCCTCAGGGACCCCAGATTGGGGAGGACTCGTTTAGGACAATTCAGCCTTCAAGATTAGGGGTGCTTCCCTCAGCAGTGGCCTCAGTTTGAGAACCACCTCAGAACTTGATCGTGGGACTGACCCCGGATTAGGAACACTGCGCCGTCAGCGACCCCAGATTGGAACACAGGCCCGCAGAACTGGGGTGACATTCAGATCGGAGCGCACGGACCCCTGAGTCCTTGACTCCGGACAGGCGCTTTCCGTCCTGTTGTGGCCGTGACAGCAAGACATTCACGCCGAGACCTCAGAAGTCAAGAGGTGACTTACGCCGGGTCAGCAGGCCCCAGAGTCTGCGAGAAGCCACCGCCACCGCCTCCATTTGAACACTGTGGCGAACTTAAAAACCGGAAGACGCCAATGGAGCCAGCCCGGACGGCCGCCATGTTGAGTGAGGGCATCGAAGCCACATCCGGCCCAGCGAGCAAGCCTTTCGTCCCGCCATCTCTATTAAGGGCAACCGGAAATTGCTGAGTTACAGAGAGGCGTGGAAATGGAAACTTCCAACCGGTAAGTTATAAAAAGTCTTAGAAGTGTGACCTTTAGCCTAGTTAAGTCCACTTCTAGAAACCTGACCTAAGAAAGTAAGTCACAGTATTGTTGGATAAAGTTTCTGTATAAAGATCATCACAGCGCTGTTTTGTAATGGTGGAGAAGGTGGACACGGCCGTAATGTCCCGGGAGGGCGTTAACTGCAGAGCTAAGCTTGGAATCATGTTGTATTCTGTGTTAATTAAAAAGAAAAAAAAAGTTGACATCCAGCTCTGTGAGCTTCCCCACGTGAAGGGATAAAAGTAGAGACGGGCAGCGTTGAACACTGACTGTGTACCATGCTGAGCTCAATGCATGTACCTAGTCTGAATTTCCACAACACCACGAAGCGTATTATCTTCCACTGGACACAGAGGAAATGGGCTCAGAGGGGAAGTCACTAGTTCAGGGTCGCTGGGCTTCAGTAGTGCTGACGCAGGGATTTATGTGGCTTCAAAGTCCATGTTCTTAAAACATTTGTTAAAACGATAAAGCCACTTTGGAAAAACGCAGGGTATAGAAAAAGTGCTGTAAAACTGCCTTTGAATGAATGTTAAGGAAGATGTTCACTAAAGTAGTGGGATCTTTCTTTCTTAATGAACATGTGTCTCCTCTGGTTTTGCAGACTAGACATACTGACTGGTCATTTTGGAAAACAGTAGAGGCTGACTTTCCATCAACAGAGGACTGTTTAGTTTATCGACAAAATGAAAAACTGAAACCGCTATGCAGATACTGAGAGAGAAATGTTAAGATACAGAACATTTTGTATGACCACTTGGTGTAAAATAGATGGTTGTACATGGCTGTATAGAGCCCTGGTTGCACAATGGTTAAGCACTTGGCTGCTTACCAAAAGGTTGGAAGTTCAAACCCACCCAGCTGTTCAGTAGGAGAAGGATCTGGTGACCTGCTTCTGTAAAGATAACCCATTGCTGTCAAAGCAATTCAGACTCATAGAGACCCTACAGGACAGAGTACCGTAGAACTGCCCCGTAGGGTTTCCAAGGCTATTCTCGTTACAGAAGCCGACTGCCACAACTTTCTCCCTCAGAGGAGCTGGTGGGTTTGAACCATCAACCTTTTGGTTAACAGCTGAGTGCTTAACCACTTCACCACCAGGGCACCTTTCCATAAAGATCACAGCCTAGAAAACTCTATGGGCAGTTCCACTCTGTCACATGGAGTCACTGAGTCGAAACTGACTCAACATCACCCAGTGACACATGGATGTATATGTATAGAACACAGTTTATATGTAGACTGTGTAAGGAGACCCAAAACATTGCTGATAGGGAATTGAACTGGGTGCAGGGAGACAGAATGAGGAAATCCACCCTTTACCTCCCTTGTGTTGTTTTTGTGAGGCGCTGTCAAGTCGGTTCCAACTCATAGCGACCCCATGTACAACAGAACGAAAACTACCCAGTCCTGTGCCATCCTCACAATCGTTGTTATGCTTGAGCCCATTGTTGCAGCCACTGTGTCAATCCATCTCCTTGAGGGTCTTCCTCTTTTTTGCTGACCCGCT